TTTACCTCCATTTCAGCAGGACAAAAAGGCAGCCCAGTTTCAGACTTCAAAATCTGGAATAAAGTCCAAAGCTTATGTCACAGCTCTGCTTTGAGAAATTAATCTTTGCTTGTCGTTTTTCCAACATCTGCAATCCCTTTAGTTCAGTTTTTCAGGGAAACTCTCCTAAAAAGTCACTCTGCAAAGTACTCATGTATAGAAAATGACAGGGAGTAGTTTCTTTAATAAAGAGGAGGAAAAAAGTAATTTTGTGTGTATGACACACTGTCTCACTTCACATACATCAGAAGTTTAAGCTACTGATTGAACATGGAACTATATGGTATTATAACAGCCAGTACATTACTGATTCCATTTCCTATCCTGATTGTAGAGCTGACAAGTGTTTTCTACATACTACTACTAATAATATCATACAGAAGATGGTGGCGCCAAGGCTGGATAACGTGTAAGCTATATTACCATTAGGGAAACTAGACTCATTTCCAGGCTAACACCATGGCAAAACAGATGGTTCCACGAGCTGCTATGACCTGGGAGACTTCAGCTGAGTGCTTTGTCCATGAACATGGAATTAAGTTTCTTTAGTCTGATTTTTTTTTTTTTCATTTTGCAGCTTTAACCTATATGAAGCATAGGTTTCACAGGAATAAAAGGAAAAAGTTATTATGGAATCGGTCTGTTAATGTGCTAGCTTAACACCCTTTCTTTCTCCCCCCCTCCCCATATAATCATCTTGATACTTCCTGGGCAGAAAGAGGATGTAATTAATGTAATTAGCAAATATTTTAGAAACTAGTTCCCTCTTAAATTTTCAGAACACACCCATTTTAATTTGCTAGATTCCCATGTGCTATAATTTTCCCTTCTCTCTGTCAAAATAATTGAGGGGTAGGAGCCACTGCTTTAATAGATGTGGTTTAGAGAAATGGAATCAATCTTTCTGAAAAAGAAGAACCTTGTCCTAATAAGAGGAAAAAGCATATACAGGTGAAGAATGATTTCTAAATGGAGATTAATATGCTTAAAAGTATGCCTGTGTGTCACCCTCAGAAAGATTTTAAAAGCAATAGAAGGCCTGTTGGATGAAGCCTAGGTAGACAGCAGGCTAAGTAGGTTCAAGACAATTTTGAACTTGATCTCTGTGGCTAAGAGGCAGCTAAAACACTGTTTGTAAGGGAGAACATTAAAAGTCGGGCACAGCAGGGTGTTACAACTGAGATCTGTAGGAAGCAAAACAGGTGTACAAGCCCCTTCTATACTGGGAAAACTAGACCAAGGTCAATTTCCCACACATGTGCTCTAGAAACATTTTCAGAATTAAGTTGTAACTGGATTATGGTTTTGTATGCTAATGGTCTTCTGAATTCTCTCAAGGTGCAAAGACACGTTCTGCTTTCATCCTCTCTTGGTCTGCATTGTCTGTTTCTCCTCTTGGTACCTCTCTAAAGGAGCTGGTAAGCATCTCATGCTCTTATAAATTTGCAGCCCACTTTTTAAAGTGAATATATGGCTATCTTTAAAGCTGATTAAGGTTTCCCCTTGGATGACATGTTTGTTAACTGGCCCAACTAAAGGACAAGGTTTTTCTAGGTAGGGGGAAGCTCATTGTTCAAGGGTGTTTGCATAGGGAAATCCACCACATTACATTTGTTGTTTTATGTTTAGGACAACAACCACTGGACAGATGATATTTCACAACTCTTAAAAGATCTGTCAGATTTTACTCAGACAAATTCCTGAAGCTGTCACACTGATTGGTGTCTGTTGCATTAGCATATCCTAAACTTCCCTTCTCATAGCCTGCTAAAAAAACCAGCACGTGACTTAGTAACTGAGCCTCCCTTTCCATTAGTCAGGCAAGAGCTGTTGTTCAGCCCCATTCTCTTCTTTCTACATCTCCCAGGAGATTATCCAGCTGCTCAGACTCCCAGTAGTGATCCCTTCTGCTGTCATTAAGCCCAGCCACAAAGGAGCGGGCATAGACTCAGTCTAGGACTCCCATTCCCCTGCTGACTTCAACATTCCTGGTACTCCTGGTTTTTTCTCTTCCTCTCTCAAATGATTCCTTTTCTGTTTCCCTAATTCTTCTCAAAATTGTCACCCTTTTTTTTCCACTAGATCACCAGAAAGTCAGCTCTTCTGCAGCATGGTGGGATCTGCTGATGCCGCTGTCTCCCAGGGAGGGGGGTACTGCGGCTGCCTGGGGATGGGGAGATGGCACCGCAATGGCATCCTGACTGACTTAAGTGCCTGCCTGGACTAATGCCATACAAAGATCCAGTCCTGATGCGACCAGATGACCATAGCTTCTTCAGAACTGCAGGAGCTATTTTATTTAATACCACATAATACCAAATACTTGCTGAATGTGTCAAATCTTCCCTAGCTCTGCCAACATGGCTGCAGGCTTCCTCTCACCTGCTGCCTTGGAGCTGCTCCCTGACTCTTGCACCCCTTCATCTCCAGCTGGGAGGAAATGAGCCACCTTCCAGGATCGGTGTGTGGCCAGATCCTGCCTGGGGAGGGAGGGGTAATGCCTGCACACCGGCGTGGCTCTGGAGCCTCTCCAAGGCCAGCAGCAGGTTTGCTGAGACGCCACCCTGCTGGGGAATGCACCTGCCCGGGCGAGAGGTGAGGGCTTGCAGCCTATCATCGGTGCTGCCTGCGCCGCACCAGGAAGGGGAGCCAGCAGGAGCACCTGTTTCTTGGCAGGCAGTTGCCACAGGAAGGGAAGAGACTTTCCCCGTGAGCTCCCTCGTTAGCTCGATCCAGTGGAAGGAAAGCCAGGAAAAACCATTGCTGCCAGCCAGGAGCAGAGAACAGTGCAGGGCTGTGGCGTGTGGGCAGCGTCTGCTGCAGGTGAGTGAGCCCTCCTCCTCCCCGGGAGCCGTGCGTGTGCGGGAAGGGCCCTACTTCATCAGTAGCTGCCAGCAGCTTTGGGGGCTGCTTCAGACATACTTAAGGGATCATGCCTTTTGCCTCCATGTCATTTCTTCCTTGTGCCATCATGTTTCCTCTCAGCACGTAAAGCTCAGGAGTTTCTTGTTCTTTCGGGACTCCCTCGCTTCCCTCAGCAGAGGTGTATCAGGACAGGCTCAGGCTCTCTGGGGTCAGGATGATGGATGCCTGTTACACATACAGAGAGGAAGGGGAACGCAAACCTTTATAATGTACGATGCCAAAGCTAGCTAGATTTCTGTAAAAAGTAGCTGCACGCTGGTCCTGTTACAACAAGCCCTCCACCATCCTTACCCCCAGAGCCTCTAGGCTTGGTGAAGGGAAGGGATGGTCCACCATCACCCAGAGCTTCCCCGAAGTTTCCTAAATGATGTCTGGTGGCAGGAGCACTGCTGGGACAGATGGTCACTTCTGGGAAAGCATTATCCCTCTGGCAGGGTAGAGAGGGTGGGCTCTCCACAGAGATACAGATTAGACAGCATGGGTTTGCCTGGATTTTGAGCAGCTCCGGGAAGGAGGAACGTTGGGAATTGGTGGTTGATGTAGCAACCAAAGGAGTGTGGATCTCTTGCTAGGATTTTGGGTGAGACAGACAGATGCCACATAAAAACCCCATTACTCCCATTCCCCGTGGGTTCCTCTATCCCCACTCCTGAGTCCTCAGAAGAGAGGGGACCTTCCCACATGTCCCAGGGCAGCAGTGTCCCTGCTTCCAGAGCCACAGATGGGCCTTGAACACTACAACATTCAGAGCTTCTGATTTGTGTATTGGCATAAAACAAGATATATTGTGTATTCAGGCATAAAATATATTGTGTTTTGGCGTAAAACAAGATATATGAGCTTCACTCTCTTTGAACCTACTAGGGAGTTAGAACAGAACAGAATAGAACAGAGTAGAATAGCATATGCCTAGGAAGTATTTCTTTACTGACAGGGTGGTCAAACACTGGAACAGGCTTCCTAGAGAGGTGGTCGATGCCCCAAGCCTGTCAGTGTTTCAGAGGCATTTGGACAATGCCCTTAATTACATGCTGTGACTTGGTCAGCCCTGCAGTGGTCAGGCAGTTGGACTAGATGATTGTTGTAGGTCCCTTCCAACTGAGATGGGATGGGATGGGATGGGATGGGATAGAATAGAATAGAATAATTTCAGTTGGAAGGGATCTACAACAATTCAGGGCTGACCAAGTTAAAGCATGTCATTAAAGGCATTGTCCAAATGCCCCAGAAACACCGACAGGCTTGGGGCATCGACCACCGTTCTAGGAAGCCTGTTCCAGTGTTTGGCCACCCTCTCAGTAAAGAAATGCTTCCTAAAGCATGGGAAGTTGGAAAAATTACATGAAAGGATGGGAAAATATTTATGCCTACTCTGGGCTGGAGGTTTCTGTGAGTGGTGGCAAGTCCATCCCAAACAGGTTATGGCCAGACCTGGCCAAGAAGCAAATAAGCTGTGATGGACTGGAGAAGCAGGGGAAGGAGATGGCTTC